TATATACACACACCCCAAAAAAAAGAAGTTAATTTCGAACCCTATACATGCAACTTCACACCAAGAGGTCAGATTTGAACATCAAACATTTTGTCATGTTTTATGAATAAAGATCATTTTTAAATCAACTCATGGCATTGCATGATAGCTGTGACTGAATGACTCTGACTTGATTTACTTTTTTTTTTTTTTTTTTAAACAAGGAAACCGTGGTGCTCACTGAGGTGCGGTTTTTGGAGAGTAAACAAGTAGGCAGGGCATCGAGCATTCCAACATTTTCAAACATGAATGTTTCCCCTCTGGTCTCAGACGGCAGAGAAACATGCTCAGAGACCAGACAGAGGGATGCTTTGTCCCCTTCTTCCCACCTCAAACTTACACACCATTCCTCACTCGAGTCCCTCAAATGCTTCATCCTACTTTTCTTTACCTCACTCGTCGTTCTTTCGACCTTCGTCTTCAATCCCCTCACAAAAATAACTTGAACCAAAGAGATGGTGTCTCTTCAATGCCGTGTGATCCTGGTCATCCTCGCTCAACAGGTAAGGCCTGCATTCACTTTTATTCTTAAAAGAAAATGTATTTGCCATATAAATCAAATAATGACAACAGAAATATCCATGGTGGTTGAGTATTTATGTTATTTTGGGGGGGGGTTCACAAAATTGAGCATCAATTTCTGCTCTTTTTCTTTTTTTTTAAGTATTCTTATTTTTATGACAATACAGTTGTGCCTTGCTATATCACAGTTCTCTTATTACAGGTTCAGTGCATTATGGATTCATTTTGTTATACAGTACAGTACAGTATGGTTTCTCCACTGCATGGCTCAGGTGGAGTGAACATGGTTAGTTTATTAAATACAATGTGATTCGAAAGACATTTTTGGAGTTTATTTGTTTATTACAGCCGAAGCTGTTGTGAAAGCGCTATATAAATCAGGATGTATTGTATTGTATCAGTCCAATGTAAAAATAAATTTCAGACAAAGGTAAACCAAGTAAAAATAAAATGCAATATATAGGGGAAAAAAAACAACCTCAAAGGTACCCGGCCCTGCATGAGAAAGTAATCGTTTCCCTTGTTAAATTTTGAATTAACTTTTTTTTTTCATACTTGGCAGCCGTTTTCAAGAGCCCTGATGTTTTTTATTGTCATGTGGTGTTTGTCGTCCTTTGCGTGGATCCGTTTACATTCCCTATAAACTGTAATAAATTGTCTTTTGTTTCCCATTTAGTGTCTCAGCAGGGATCTGGTCAATGGGCAGCATCCGGTTCAACGTCGTGGAAATGCGCACAATCTAGCGAAGAGGAAGCAGTTCTGTCACTGGCCGTGTAGGTGTGGGCAAATACCGCAATGTCCACCGGGAGTGAGTTCAGTGCTGGATGGTTGTGGCTGCTGCAAGAGTTGCGCGAAGCAAATTGGAGATCCATGCAACGAGCGGGACATCTGTGATATGCACAAGGGAATGTACTGTGACTTCTCAGCCGACCAACCCAGATTTCAAATTGGAGTATGTGCTTGTGAGTAAAAGTTTCCTGAATAATACACTGTATATTGTACACCTAAAGAATCAGATGTAGTTTTAGGAATAAAGGTAGATCGTTGGTGTGACAGAGGAGGAAACATAAAGCTTAGATGGAGAAGGATAATGGCGACCCCTAACAGAATAAACCCACAGGTGAAAAAGAATACACTAGACATTACTTTTGGAAGTCAGCTATTTCCAAACTGTATTCCCATCGATGCTTTTGTCAGCTGGGAAGTCTCTGAACAGTGGAAAAATCACACCGCGCTCTTACGATAAACAACAATGTGAGCAGCATTTAGGGCCCTCACAGTCAGGCCAGTTTGTTTTTTTTTTTTTTTTTTTGCTGTGCCAGGAGTGATGTGTGCTTAAATTTCCATGAATGTGTCGGCACTCATCTGCGGTCTCCACTCAAGGTTTATTCTATTTCCCTGAAATAGGACTGAGAGTTTTTTCTTGCCCAGTCTGGGGTTTGAATCAAGGGATGTGAGTAAGCACATACCGGTAGTCAAACGGGAGACTCTGAGGCGTTCTGACACTTTTTTTGTGAATAAGGGACATACAAATTCAGTACCTTGACACAACTTACATTCGCTGTCGGTTTCAACTACAGTGATCCCTCGCTTATTGCGGTTAATGGGGACCAGAAGCCCCCGCGAAAGAGGAAAATCCGCGAAGTAGGTACCTCCCACCCATGGATATACAGGTAGATGTACATGTGTATGAGTATATATAATATTTATAAGGCCAAATTTAATTGTATACATGCATGTAGCAGTAAATGTTTGTCGTAATTAACATTACTAAATGCTATATACCTATATATATATATACATATATATATATATATATACTTATTGCGGTTAATGGGGACCAGAAGCCCCCGCGAAAGAGGAAAATCCGCGAAGTAGGTACCTCCCACCCATGGATATACAGGTAGATGTACATGTGTATGAGTATATATAATATTTATAAGGCCAAATTTAATTGTATACATGCATGTAGCAGTAAATGTTTGTCGTAATTAACATTACTAAATGCTATATACCTATATATATATATACATATATATATATATATA